TTTTAATAATCCAATCACAAAAGGTTTAAATTCATGCATGACAAGCCTACGGATATTGACAACAAACAAAGAGACGTGACAAACATTGCTCAAAATGTTCAGTAAAAAGTTGATCATGCAAACACGAAAAAAGTCTTTCAGGATTCTCCCAAATTGGACATATAAATAATAACATTAAAACAAAATTTGCACACATTTCATGTGGGGGGTTTGAATACAAATACGATTACTTATTATACATGTAGACATATTGTTATGATTTTAAGCTCAAACAACATAATAGAAAATGAAAGAGTAAGAACCACACATAAGCAAGATTTTAATTTCACCTTAGTTTCGTTCTCTCTGCAAATTTTCAGCCCACTCTTCTATTTCTCCGTTTTCTCGATTCTTNTCTTTCAGGATTCTCCCAAATTGGACATATAAATAATAACATTAAAACAAAATTTGCACACATTTCATGTGGGGGGTTTGAATACAAATACGATTGCTTATTATACATGTAGACATATTGTTATGATTTTAAGCTCAAACAACAGAATAGAAAATGAAAGAGTAGGAACCACACATAAGCAAGATTTTAATTTCACCTTAGTTTCGTTCTCTCTGCAAATTTTCAGCCCACTCTTCTATTTCTCCGTTTTCTCGATTCTTCTTTTTAGTTAGGTGTAAGTCTAGAACCTTTAGGATAACAAGAATCTGCCACCTCACTCTAATACAACATGTGAGTTTACCTAGTTACCCCTAACAACCAGCTGGACATATTTACCACATATATACTTCATGTGTACATGGGGAATACATTTTCGAAGAGGTTTATAATTTTCACCTCGTTACACATATAATTCAAATGGAAACATAATATGGTACCTCGAATGCATTGAATACGAATCCAATAGTTTGATACCTTTGCAATCGTGGTTTCGTACTACTTTAGCATTTCAAGATTTGTAGAATGCAGAATAGCATAGTACTCGTAGCCACACACTCTTTTCGGACTTTGCATCTAGAAAAAATGGCAGAAATGAAGGACTTCAACATATAGAAGTAAACATAGCATTTGGAAAGATCTCAATAAATGGAAAGACAAGAATTTCATGCTCTACCAATTGTTGTCACTGCTATCAATGCATTGTTGCTGCTATGGTTTTGAATACTTGACCAATTTTACCCAATGGTTCCCTCGAAAACTGTTTTACTAGCAACTACACTAATAAAATAATTGAAAATACTGCTAGCATGATATGTTGAGGTTAAATACATGGAAGAATAATGAATCAAATGGGTCGTTACCACTGGCTAAAAAATTTGATGGGTGTTGGTTGGGTCGATGTCAAATACGAACAAAAATAGATTTGTAGGCTGGGTCACTGCTGAAAGGCATCGAGGTCACAAATTTAGCATTGACGAAGGAACTGCTACAGGTTGCTACAGAAATAGCCAGAGGGACATGGTGTCGCGGATTTGGCTATGTCCAACTGCTGTAGGGCATCGATTTTGTAGTTGCTTAGTGCCACCACCAGCGTCGCTTTGCGTGGTGGTGTCAGGCTACAACAAAATTGTCGGAGAATGATGGGTCTGCTGTTGAAAACTGTCGTAGGTGTCGTCGGAGTCGCAAATGCTGCACTGTCGAAGCCCGCCTCTTGTCGTGGCGAGTCGTCGGAGAGACGCCAGTTTGTGGATCCATTGGAGGGGCTGTTGGTTTCACGAAAAAACAAGGAGGAGTGCTGGTTTGGAGGAGGGGGAAAAGAAAAGAAGAGCTAAGGTTTACTTTCTTGTTCTTAATTCAAATGAACAATTTCTCCTTTCTTTTAAAGAAAATTCTAAGGGTTTTAAAATCGTAAAATTTACTTTTCAATAACAAATCTTATAGATTTTTCTTTTCTAGGAGATTTGGTGAAAAAATAAAACTAAGTTAAAAGATATCCTACATAAATAAAATAGAAAAAATATCTATCGAATAACCCAAAAACAAAAGCCCAAAAGAAAACAATCCTAAGAAAATAAGAAAAATCATAAGAAAAACACACAACAAAGTAAAGAAAATAAAATTCAAAACGAAAATCTCAAGAATTAATATTAATCTAACCTTTTAAAAATGCACGGTGACATTTTATGTCACTTTTCATATGACATTGTATCGAAATATTCAGTGAAAGTTAGGAACCGACATCAAAAATCCGACATTATAGAGTACAATTACCAATTTATTAATGTTATATTTGATGTTGTTTTCAATCGACATTGTACCTCAACTCTTTCTCATTTTTTATTTATTTATTTTTTGACATTCGAGATCACTTGGCAACCGATATCTTATCTCCATATTTGATGTCAATTAAAAACTGACATTAATGATCCGCCTTTTTTAAAATTGACGTTATAGCCTAAACCGTCATTCTTTACAAGGTACCAATTGACATTGAAGGTGACAACTGTTGTAGTGAACACTGTTATGCTGCCGTTGCCCATCGAGTATCCAGAGGAATGCGTTGCTCGGAGAAGACTGCCAAATGTTGAGGGTAGTAGATCTAGGCTGTTGCTCGACCTAAATGTCGTGGGTCTTTGCTCCTTACCGTGGTTCGTGGGTTGACGGATATTGAAAGAGATGGTGAGAGGTTTTTCAAAAGAGAGAAGGGGGTGGGTGTACTCGACTGAAAACACAAGGGTGGGAGAGAGATAAGATTTTTTCCCCACAATTTTACTTATTTTTCATTATACAATTTTTTAATTTATAAACTCCAATGTATTAAAAAAATTATAAATCAACAAAATTTCTAGTTTTAAAGAAAAAAATTTTATTTTTCCTTTTTTTTTAGTATAAAAAGTAAGATATGTGGGAAAATATTTGATTTCAAGGAAAAAAGAACTAAATTTTGAATTTTAAATTTAATCAAAAATTTATTTTTTTTTTCAAAATAAAAAATTTAATTCTACTATTTTTAATTTTATGTTTTTAAAAAGTTAAAAATTTGAGAATATATATTAGAGAGATAAAATTCTATATAGAGTATAGATGATAAATAGTGTTGGGCGAGAGCGAAGATGCTGAAACTATCGAAGGTCCTATCAGAAGCTCAACCTATAAATAGAGACCTACTTTCTCGTTTTTAGGCATGCAAAACTATATCTTTCACTTGCATTCGACTAAGCTCGTCCTTAGAGTCAATTCATCGTTGTTGACCTTCACATACTTGTTCAAATTCTTCATGAAACAATAGTTTTAATAAACGCCCACTTCATCCACAAACAGGAAGATGAAAATGGAAAATAGACGTGTGAAACCTTTCATGACGTTTTTAGTTTCATGAAATCTCGAAATTTTATGACTTTTCCTAATGTTGAAAAATCGTCATGAAGTACCAAAAATCATGCATCTGCTAAAATCTGCTATTTCATTCTTGTTCAATATTTTACAACATTTTTTTAAATAGATTAACAATTTGAAATTACATATTCACTTTTCGTGACAAAAATTTCATAATCATGAAAAAATCGTGAACACAAATAAAGATACATTTTCTTGCTAAAAAACACAGTTCACCATTTCATAACGTTTAAAAAATGTCACAGATGATAGCAAATTCGTTAGTCTTCATGTTTTCCTGCAAAAAATATCGCTCCACTATTTCATGACATTTTTTAGACATCGCAAAAAGGAAAATTTCTGGCGAGGTAGGCATTTCATGCTTTAAAACGCCGCACACCCTTTCGTGACGTTTTATAATCGTCACTAAAAATTACTACAAGAAACGGAGCTTTCAGCGACATAGTTTTAGTGACACATTAACAATAATGTCATTAAAATATGTTTTCAACGACATAGTCAATATACAGTGTCGCTGAATATTATTTTCAACGATGTGATGAACTATATGTCGTTGAAAGTGAATTTTCAGTGACACCGTCAACTAAATGTCGCTGAAAATGCACTTTCAGCGACACATAAGTTGTATATGTCGCTTAAAATCCCAGATTTTATCCTCAATCTTCCCCATTCGGGATTTTGCGAAACCTCGTCGCTTGGAGCAATTTCTTCTCCCGTCCGTCGCCGCGTCGCCGATTTCAGCACCTCCCGTCGCCGTTCGTCTCCTCCGGTTGCCGGTATCGAGGTGTGGTGGTTGTCATTGCATTTAGTCGCCGGATTCGAGTGGGTAGCGTCAGATTCTAGTGGGTAGTCGCGAATTCGAGTGGGTAGTTGCCGGATTCGAGTGGATATTCTTTAATCTCTCCCTTAAGTTGTATTTTAACTTTTGGATGGTTTAGGATTTGATTTTGGAATGGGATAAAATGTGGGTTGTTTCGATTTATGAATCCTATTTTAAATAGAAATTTATGTGGGGTGTTTTGATTTGGTATGTTTTGATTTATGTCCAAAGCCTCGCATTTAGCTAGCTCCGCTTTTTCTTCACTCTGGAGTAAGTAATCACTCTTGGTTAGATTATGATTTTAGGGGATGGGTTCTTTTTTTCTTTGCATGTGTAAAATGTGTGATCTTTGCTTCTATAGGACTGCATTATATTTTGTTTTGTTGGTGATTTTCTGCCTTCTCTTAGTACTTGGTTTTTGGGTCGTTGGAAATGATGATGAGAGCAGGGTGTTAGTGAACTTTTTTCTTTGGAATGTCCATTTTGATGGGTATATAGCATGTTGATCCTGGAGTATTCAAGTCTTAAGAAGGGGAGCTTTGGGTGGTAGTCTTTTCCCAAATGTTATTATTTGCCTATTTGTTGGTATGTGCAAGTCATTGAGCTAATAGAAGTAGAGTTCTTGTTTTGCCTTTGAAAGGCTTTTATGATTCTAATTATGTTTTTTATTCATCAACATTCTATGGGAGGTAAGGACCGTATAATTCATGTTGGATATGGATTCTCTAGTTTCGTATTTTGAAGTTTATGTTGACTATGGATTGTAAAGTTTATATATTTGATTTTGATGATTATGTTAGATATGAGTTATTTGGATTTTATTTGATGCTTTGAAGTGTGATTTTGAAATAGAGTTTGGTGATATATTTTAAAGTTCGGCTGTGGGAAGAATGGGGTTTTTTTTGTTCCCTTTCAATCTTACAAAAAGTAAGCTTCTTCTCCTCCTCAAATGAATGTTTTTGTCAAAATACTGCTTGATTAAGTTTATGATTCATATAATTTCTCATTTCAGTTTTGGTTCGTCGTGCCTTGCTCCGTGAGTTTTGTGGCTACTGTCCATCCGTGCCGGCTGTTGTAAGCATCACCATCTCGAGGTTCGCTTTAAAATTATCGATGTTTTCAACATTGTTTTTAGAAATATACATTATGGATCTGAATTGGAATTTAGTAATGAAGTGTTTGTGTACTGATTAGGACGTCAATTGAATGTTTGTTGTATTCGGATGTTGTTAAAGTTGATTTTGATGTAGTTTGTGGGAGTAAAAATGGAATGGGAGGGAGTTGGGTTGAGTGAAGATGTATATAAGGGAGTTGACGTTGATTTTTGTTGTTTTTTTTTTGTGAATGTTAATTAATAACTTTGAAAGATCGGAGATCTAGTCAATATTCTAATGGCGTTAGTAATTTTATTGAAGTCGCTAAGAATTATTTGGATGAAGAAGGAAAAACAAGATGTCTTTGTTCGAATTGTTTAAATGTCCTAAGGAATAATTTGAATGATGTAGAGCGTCACTTATTCAAATATGGTATGTCTCCGACATATAGTAGATGGACATTCCATGGAGAAAAGGTAGATCTTTCTTCATTCTTAAGACCTCGATTAAGGTTTTTTGGAGCAACATTTTCAGATTCTGTTAGAAATAATAGACCAGATGGTGGGAATCGTATGGATCAAGTGACAACTGTGGTCAATGATAATGAGATACTCCAAATGATGAATGATTTAAATGGTCCAATGTTTGAAGACATTTCTGGAGAATCCAGTGAGTAGCAGGAGACTAATAATATTTTTTCTGAAATGTTTCGCGATGTTAACGAAGAGTTGTATCCAGGATGCTCAAAGTATACATCGTTTAATATTTTAGTGAAACTTATGCATACTAAAGTTCTTAATCATTGGAGTGATAAATCATTTGATATGTTACTCCAATTATTGAACGATGCATTTCCAGATGGTGTAGAGCTTCCTAAATCAAATTATGAGTCTAAGAAAAAATTACGTGATCTAGGGATGGGATACGAATCAATTCACGTGTGTAAGTATGATTGTGTTTTATTTTGGAAAGAATATGCATCTCTTGACAATTGTCCTCAGTGTGGAGAGTCGAGGTATAAATTGAATAAATCAAAAGGAAAAAAAAAATTCCCCATAAGGTCCTGAGATATTTTCCATTGAAGGGAAGGTTACAAAAATTATATGTTTCAAAATATACTGCTGAGAATATGAGGTGGCATAAAGATAAAAGGTGTGAAACTGAAGGAATACTTCGACATCCTGCTGATGCTAAGGGTTGGAAACACTTTGATAGAAAGTATCATCTTTTTGTTGCAGATGCTCGTAATGTGAGATTGGCGCTTTCTTCAGATGGTTTTAACCCTTTTGGAAATATGAGTTTATCGTACAGTATATGGCCAGTTATGCTCATTCCATATAATTTGCCTCTTTGGAAGTGCATGAAAGAATCATCTATTTTTCTATCTCTACTCATCCCTAGGCCAAGGTCTCCTGGTAAAAAGATTGATGTTTTTTTACAACCCTTGATAGATGAGTTGAATGAGTTGTGGGTGAATGGTATTCGCACCTAGTTTTAGTGCATCTTTCTTCCAGCTTCATGCAGCTCTATTATGGATGATTAATGATTTTCCAGCTTACGGTTATTTGTCTGGTTGGAGGACGAAAGGAACTAAGGCATGTCCAATTTGCAACGATGATTCGAGTTCAATGAGATTTAAAAGCAAAATTTGTTTCATGGGACATCGTCAATATTTACCTCAAACACATACATGGCGTAGGAGTAGGCAACACGATGAGAAACAAGAATTTATATTAGCCCCGAAGATGTTAACTGGACAAGATATTATAAATCAATTGAATTCATTGAGTTTCCCTACGTTGAGCAAGCATCCTACAATAGTATCTG